ACCATCACATCACAGCAACCCCAATATCACATTTATTGCTTCCCATGAAATGTGTACAGCTGTATAATTCAACATAGCAACTTTACAACACTCAGCTATATAAAGAGACTGATATAACCCTTCAATAACAGTTGCTATTGGTTATGAAATTCAGACTAGTCTGCAATATACTAATTTATGAAAAATCAAATACTGCCCCTGCACTAACATTAACCTCATTTTAACCTAGTTATGAGTATTACATAGTATGAGTTTTAACTCGTTTTACCCTACAGAGGCAACAAGGAATACGCCCATTTAAACTGTATCCAGTAAACTCAAGTGACTTAGTAAAACCTTCTTCAAGGAGCTGTGAGATTGTAATTTGTTCAAATCATTAGTGAAGAGATTAACTTTTCAGATAAACAGCTTTAGAAAGCAGTGTATTCTCTGTGTTTCATAAACCACACTTTATTTAAACTTAATTTCAATGAGTTTAAACTAAAGCAGGAAATTAGCCCTCAGCAGCCCAGCATTCATCTTCAACATCTACAGGACAAATTAAAAACAAAACAAAACCCAAGAGTCCTCCTTGCCAAGGAACATAATTATGCTGTCTCATTACTGTTTTGCTAAAATAATTTAATTAGCAGCCCTCAGATACAGGAAGGAATTTATGCTACATCAGGAAAAGAAGGGCTTGGGGGGTGAATTGTACACACTGTTCTAGCATACCAGGAACATGGGTGTTGAATTCTTCTGGTAAAAACTATTGGCCCAAAGCTGGATTGGCATACCAGAACTAAGCTTTTTTTTTTTTTTTTTTTTTTTTAATCCAAAGAAGGGAGGGAAATAAAAAAAAAAGGCACTACGCAGTCTAATACTTGCAGTCTAATACTTGCATACTCTTAACTGCAAGTAGGAAGACACAGCACAGCTGAGGAGCTGTGCTGAGGTGGAGATTGTGCTTCCCTGCCCATGCACAAATTAAAGCTCTGAAACCATACCAGCCCCCATCTCTCATTATGTTCTGCTCTTGTGGGCACTGACATTTGTCACTAGGGAATCCCATAACTGAGGCTCTAATAGGCAGCTCTTCAGCTCAATTCCTCCAGGCTACTCTGTGCGACAGCACATTTGATTCCTGCAATAAAGTTGTAGTCTGGGCTAATTCCAATGTTTCCTCTTTTAGATGGGAAGCCTGCTTACAGCAGGACTGCACTGTACATCTCCAGGATAACAGAGGCCTCTACAAAAAAAGTATTACCCTTTCCTGAAGTTGGCTGTTTCACATGGCTTACTGCCTATAGTGCTTAACTGCTCGTCAGGTCAGTATCACAAACAAGAATCCTGTGCCTTTGCAAATCCTTGTCATGAAAGCCCTTGTACCATCAAATCAGCAGAGTGCCATCCACATCCTCAGTTCAAATTTCTCTTTAGTGTACAAGTAACCAGCTACTGAGCAAGAAACCAAATTACAGTTCAGCTTTACAGTCCCTGAAATCCAGGAATAAACTGCTTTTCAACCCCTTCTTGTCCCAGATATTAACTGTCCTAATCAGTACACAGGCATATCTACAGCGCTCCTGTCAATTTCAGCCATATAAAAATAATTTTTCAGAGCTAAACTGTACTTTCATTTCACCACCATAATCCACCAGTGGATAATATAAGCCAAGACTAAATGAACTGGAAGGGTTTGAAACACTAGTTAAGATTAGCTAAAAATATCACCATGATGCATAAACCCAAATAGAAACCTGCTCCATCTCCCAGGGCAGTATCAATTCTGCCATCCCAACAGGTGTACAAAATAATTCATCTTTGTCACTAAACTCCATGAAAATGCAGGAGGGAGAGGAGAGCTGTTGACAGAGGAAGGGCCATTCGTATATAAATTATTCCACATGGCTAATCAGATCTAAAGGTGTCAGGGTGCAGAGCCATCAAAAGCCAGTCCCTTCACCCAGAGATTTCCAGTGATCCTAGAAATTCAAGACTGCGATGTTTGTCGCTATATTTTATGTGCAAAGTGCTTCAGCCATCTGAAAACAGCTTTGAAAATTCAGCCCACACTGAAAGACAAGCCTTCCCTGAAAATACAGTTGTAAAGTGGGAAACTAGTTAGACAGTGCTGGGTACAAAGAGCATATTTGTTTTGACTTAGTTCCTCAAATCCTTTGAACACCAGTTCAGAGCACATACTCTATAAAACACTCATGAGAAACTGGCACATTCACTCAGGCACATATTGATGAACTGCTTATTTACATCTACTGTCATTTAAGTACCTTTTTATTACAAATGCTAGGATTTGTAATAACAGACACCACAAGATCCTCAAGCAGCTAAGAGCTGCTGAATAAACAAGGGTAACACAAGTGATTTTCCCCCACTGTTTCCCATTTGAAATGCACAGGCTCAGCCCAGTAAAGTAAATTGCTTGTTTCCTGTCAGCCTCCAACCTCTGCATTTCTATTTTCTGGATGGGAGCAGGGAATGAAATTCGAGGGCAATTTCTTTCGTTATTTAAATAAACAAATGCAGATAAAACAACCATTTCAAATGAACAAGTCCTCCTCAAGCTAATTTTCTTGAAGCCTTCACACAAAGATTTATCTTCCCCCTCTCTATTCCTCCCTCTCCGACCCCCAACAGTCCACCATGGGCAAGCTGAGCTCCAGTGCCTGTAATTAATGGCTTTGTCTGAAGGTTGTGGGTTGGCCACAGCATAACAGATACCCACATGCAGGAAAAGAAGCAAATGCACTTACTCGAGAGATAGACAGAGGCACATTGAAATCCTTGCCCCCCTGAAGCCTGAATCCCCAGGGAGCTGGCCCAACCAAAGACACGCTGTAGTTGCTCATGATGTTTAGTATTCAAGGACCAAATCCAAAGAACTGATGCCTGCAGAAGAGGATTAGAGTTTTAATTTAAAGATGATAAAAACAAAAGGCACTGTCTGCAATTTTGAAAGCCTTCTTTCTTTGGCTGTATTCCCCTCCCCCCAAAACAGCCAAAAAACCCACACCAGGTCTGCCATGACTTGTGCTTTTATTCCTCTTACGTTGTTTCCCTCCATAGCTTAAGAAGAAACAGAACTTGGAGAACTGCTGCCGCTGCCAAAATGTTTGACAACTACTCTTTACTAACAAAACACTGTGTGGGGCAGGGGGTCAATACTGAGACAAGCATGAATTGATAGCATCCCTTAAACCAAAGTATGGAAGACATTAGCAGTACTGGCACATTCACTTCTAAAAAAATTAATATCATATGCTGCCATGTCATCAGCTTAAAGCTTATTTCTAAACACAACAATGTCAAAGCATCACAACTTTGCAGTTAATCAGAAGAAAATAAAATCCCTGTGACTTTGTTTTTATAGCATAGCTTCATAGTGGCAGAACAATGTCACAGATGAGACAGGTATCAAAACCAACCCTCAAAAATAAAAACTGTGAACTAAAGCAAAATATCCACAGTCACAATTTAACGCTAAGGAAGCAAAACCCAAGCAACCCCTTCTCCACAAACGTGGCCAACAAATTACCTTTAAAAGGCAACTGAGATATTTAAGTGCTGCTCAGCGTCAAAGATAAGGGCTTCAGTTCCACGTCAGATAAGTAATGTTACAATGACATCTTAGGTTGTGGATGCTGTCTATTTTTGTATAGTCGAAGCCCGGCAGGAGCACACCAGGGCGGGCTGGTGTAAGACTACACCGGGGCACAGCCAGATTCCATACTCATATAGGGACATTTAAGGTGGACCTTCAGCTAAGCAGCAGCAGGCGGCTGCAAACCCCACCAAACCCTGAAAAGCCCGGTTTTAGCTGCTCGTACACTGCAGGGGAGCCACATTAGTTTCTCAGGGGCAGTGGGTTTTTCCAAATGCAGCCCACCCAAAAGGAGCAGGAGAGCAGGGCTGCCGCAATCGATGTAAGGATGTCACTCCCCAAGAGAGCCATCCACAATGCATGTTTCTGAGTTCACCTCCCAAAGCAGCAGAGATCCACTACTCAGACTTTTTTTCCAAATCAAACTATGAACTTTATTCACACCAACGGCCACTCAGGTAACCAGAGCACGGCTACTGACATTAGGCAGTATATATACATATATATATATTAGGAAGCAGAATTTGTAGCTTGTATCAGAGGCGCCTGGGTAACTGGACCATTCCCAACCCACCACTGCCTGTTGGCATCCAGCAAAGGGGCAGCTCTGACCCCAGACACTGACTCAACCCACCCTTAAAAACCCCGACAAGCACCAATGTACAGAAGGGGAAACACACAAGACTGAGCTCTCCTCTAGCTAAAGAGGAAGAAAAGTCTCCGCCAAGTTTGAGCTAGGACTCTTAGGAGGCTTGCTCACCACTAAAGCAAGAACTAAGCTGTTTAATTGCCCTGTGCACAGAATTCTTTCAAAAAGAGGATCTGAATTAGTCACAGATTTCTTTCTACATAAAAAGACTCACTCTTTTCACTCCCGCTAAATGAAATCCACTGCAGTGACAGGTCAATGTAAATTATGAGACTGCAGGGAAGCAAGCTACATGTAGCGATCAGCACCCTGTGCAGCTGTTTCACACAGGTGAGCAGGCTTTACCTAGCAATTGAAACTAAAGTACCTGTGTAGCTTTCTTATTTTTATTTTTTTTAACTGAGAATCAGCTAGTTATAATTATAGACCCAGGAAAAAGAATGATTTCTATTCGGAATTGATATCATTCTTTTTCATTTGTAGCAAGTAGAAATAGGAGGGAAGAAACTGCACGCTGAAATACCGTGCATCCCACTCAACATCATTCATCTTTCCTTTGTCACCCCCTTAATTCCAGTATATCTGCATCTCTAGCCTGACAGATACACCAAAAAGGAACGGCAAGCAAAAAAGATACATTCCAAGTTCCGTTTAACAAATTTCTTAAAATGTGCCAGGGCAACAGTTAAAGGAAAACACTGCAATCCACCAACCTCGCTTCACGTGGGGAGCACTGTGCTGATAAGTCAGCTAAGGGTGAAATTGTGCAACTTTCCTTCCGACGATCAAACGCTTGGTGGACCTGCGTCCGGACGGGGGAATTTCAAATCCCCGGCAGAGCTCCGGTCCGCACCGCCGCCGCCCCGCAGCACCAGCGGGGCCTTCCTGCCCCGGGACGGCNGTTGTTTGATTTGTTTGGGGTTTAACAGGGGAGCGCTCGCTTTCAGCCCGCTTGGATTTACGCACACGCAGCTGCGGGCGCACCTGTGAAGCTGCAAGGGCGAGCGGGAGGGGGCCGCTCCCCGTGTGCCCGCCCTGAGGGAAGGGGCTGCGGTGCCGGGCAGGGATGGGGGGAAGCGGCGGGGGCAGCCTGAGGCCGAGCAGGAGACCCTACGGAAAGAGGGAGTTTGGTTGATTTAATGTGGAGTAGCGTGAGGACTGACGGGGATGTACTCGCCCCCTGAGGACATCAAAGTGGGGGAACGGCGGCGAGGCAGAAGAGCTGTCGGAGCTAACAAAAGGCTGGCACCAGAACAAACAGGTAGAGAGTAACCATGCATAAGTTCAGCTCCGAAATTGGAAGGGATCCTCCAGAAATTAAGGTCTCTGGCAGAGCCTCGCTGTAGGAGTGGGTGCATGGAATGAACCAGGCTCTAAGTGATGCTTGATCGGATTGTTATTGGACTAATTCTTTAGCACGGAGACTGTCCAGCTGGGAATGCAGCTGGGGATCCGTGGAGCGGGGCAGGCTGGCCGGGAGAGCCCCGCTGGGCCTGCCAGCGCCAGCCACTGCCTTGGGAGAGGCAGGAACAGGGCAAAGATGAAACAGCAGCGCTTCGGAATCACTTTCAGCTGCACCTCACAGCTTGCTGAGGCTTGAGGTGCCTGCCAAACTTCACGTGTGACAAGTCTTTACGTGTAAAAATGGCTGTGAAACGAATGTCCGTCTAGTTAATAGTACCATTATCTGTACGATTCAAAGGATTTCAGTACCATCCTCAAGCATGGGTTTACTGTGGAGAAGGAATGTAGAAGAAAGCTTTAAATTCTTATTTATCGCCATCCAACACAGCACACAGTCCTCATAATGGACAGCCCTGCCTCACCCCTCTGGCCCCAGAGCACTGTCCCTTGCTTTTATTGTCACCTGCACAGCCTTGAGCCTGATTTTGGCCCTTCTGTGCCCATTGCCCTCAGGCTGGAGCTGATGCTGGGTTACAAGACCCCCTGCCCTAGGTGCCTGAGTGTGCATGAAACTAGGGCCTCTCCAATCCTCTAAGCCCTGGCTCAGTGAACCTTAACAAGGGTATTTTAACAGTGTCCCACTGAGCTGTGTGTCTTCTCACTTGCCATAACTAGGACAAGTGCACCTCTAACAGCATCTCAAAAAGAAAAGCATCTAAACCTCTCAAGCTGTTTCATTTATTAGAGTAGAAATAGCTCCAGGACCCCACTCCCCGGTGTGACTCACGTGATATCTCCAGTGTCAGCACATCCCTGTGCTGACTGCTTGGGTAGCAATCGGCTCTCAGCTCACCAGAGCACACAGCCTTTGGTCCTGCCTGCTTTTGCACTTTGCCATGTTAGTGAAAAACATCCTTTTCCACTTCATTCTCCCAAAGCCTTCAGCTTTTCCTGTTGGGGAAGTAGCTTTCACATGCAGCATCTCAAGACAGCATTACATTAATTCACCTTGACTGAAGAGGAACATGCAGAGAGACTTTTGCTGGTTGGTGTTGCAGCAGGTTTCAGCCCTGGCGAGCCTGCATGCAGTCTGCACCATACCCACCCATTGCAGCAAGGCCAGTGCCACTCCCAGCTCTAAGCTGGCAGCCTCGTCTTTTTCCATCATCACTGCGCTGTGGCGTGATCGGTTCGTAACAAATGAATGTGTTTTCCTTTGCCTCCAGAGGCAGGGCACAGAAATAGAGGCAACTCATTAGCTCGAGATAGCTCCATTCTTGGTCACTTTTCAAATATTCTCTTTGAAAAAAAAGCTTTTCATCAAAGATGAATAGCGAAATCAGAGATAGTTGAGCAAGAAACCTCGGCAGCAGCTTGAACTGTGGCCTGCCTGTTTCTTCCTACCACTACCGGATTTTAGACAGAGCTTGCATTTTTCCCTCTGAACAAGGAAGGAAGGAGTCTAGAAATTAATTAAATGCAGTAATCAGCTAGCCAGGCAGATACAGCCTATCTCAGATTTACTCAAGCACTTAAGTCTCATTTAAATGCCAATGAAATAAATGCCTTAGATGCTGGATAATGGGCACTGCAAAACTGACAGAGAACATCACCTGCGGTGTTGAAGTACAAAAGGGCATCTGTAAATGGAAAAAGTAGCCCATAAATTATGAACAGATTAACAATGCACAGTCGAATTATTCTTAATTAAGTAGCACTTAATGTAACATTACCTTTCTGTGTGCTAAGGCATTGAACTACAAGTTGTGCTTTTACTGCACTGCTACTTTCACTTTTGCTTTTCTTCCAAAGGTAAAGCTACTGTAAATATTTACACTCAGCATATAACTCGTGTTCAGCTCAAAGTAATACTCTCTCTAATGAGGTTAATGTGAATATCATCTAGAGCATAACAGCTTATTTCTATTTCCAGATAGCTCTGTGGCCAAAAAATACAATGAATTAGATAATTTCTATGTGTTTCTGAGAAGCAGGGGCTGCAGTCAGCAAAAGCTGGGCAAGCTGTTACACTTTGGTCACAGTGAAGCCCAACCCACCTAGAACTGGTATGACAGAAAAGCTTTTATTTTTATGTTTGTTTGGTATTTTGTGGTTTTGTTGTTTGTTTGGTTTCTTCTGTTTTTCTTTTTCCTGTCCCTGTTTTGGAAAGATACCCAGTGCTGAATTGCATCCTCTCTCATACATCCTGTCCACCACAGTAAACCCAGTTAGCCCAAAGATTTCTGGCATGGGGGGAGCCATGTGGCTGGGCAGGGGTTCAGGATCCAGCCAGCTGGGCAGCTGCACCCCCACAATTCACTTTGGAACAGCTTTGTCAGCCAAAAAAACCCTCATGGTCAAGTTTGCTCTTACTTGTCACCTTTTTTTCTCTCAGAGCCCTGTTCTCCCCCAGCTGTGCTGGCCTTCTTCACTTGTCATCAACCTATTTTCTCACTGAGCATATTTTCTTGTGTTACATCTTCTGTAGCTGTGTCCTTCTGATGGCAGTTTGCATCCCATCTCGGTGATCAAGACAGCTTTTAAACCCGTGGTTTTCATCAGATTGAAAAGTTAACAGTGTTGGTGTTCCCACTCTAGCCCTTGTATAAACATATTTATTATTTTTTTTTATACCCTGATTTTTTTTTATTTTAGTTAATCAAGCCTTCATTAGCTTTTCTTTATTGGTGCTTTTCTTTGTAAAGAGAAAGTAATATTTACTAATAAAATACTCCTTATTTACAGTGTCTCTACAATCTTGCTAAATCGTGTAAACAGAGGAAACTTATGTTATTACCGGAGTCCTTTGTAGTGACTGAGCAGACACATTGGAGCCTGGTCATTCCTAGTTCCTAAGCTAGGAATATCTGTTTCGTTCCCTCCTCCTCAGGTAAAAGAAGGACCACCTATGTGGATGCCACAGCCCATGCCACAGGTTAAACATTTCTAGCTTGTGACTCCAAACCAATGAAACAGAAACTAAACCTCTTCATTCCAGGAAACACAATTAACCTTTTCAGAAGCTTAAGGTTATCTCCTTATCACATTAAACATGGCCCATTTTAGGGACTGAAATCAATCTGAAGCTTCTCAGAACGTCACAGCCTGAACAGCTTCATCCTTAGCCCTGCTGTGAGGCATTAGCCTCATTTTACAGATGGTGACCAGAGGCAATAAACATTTATACATGCAAGGAATCAACTGTCAAGGAATTGAAACCAGTTCTTCCAAATTCCTTCACAGCTACTAACAACTAACTACTGGATTACTCTACCCCAGGCTGACATAGCCCTCCCAAATAGAGCAATACATGGGAAGAAAAAAGGAGGGGAAAAAAAAATCAGACTTCATATTTACCATTTTTGACAGAGTCAAGCAAGTTATGGGAATAATGCTTTCAGTTATCCCTGTTCTTAGCTCTTGAAGCAAGCTGCCTGCCTTCATTTCCTTTTCCTTAATGGCAAGGAATGGTTAATGCAGAAACCTGTGGCTTGGTGTGGTTTAATTACAGTCCATCAGCTGTGCAGGAAGGGCTTGCTGAGTGATGTCTTTGAGCTATGTTTGAGATCCACCATGAAAACCAATTAAGTGGGGTTTGGCAGGTAAACAGCCAAACTTTCAGAGTGATCCTTGCAGTTATTTATATTAATTTGCCTTGGGAGAGGAGGTGCAGCTTTGCCTGTAGACTTGTGCATGATAGATTGCCTTGGCGAGGGAGGGAGCGGGTGCAAGCTGCAGCAAGAAGAGCCTGGCAGGTCGGGAGCAGCCTGGCACAGGGGTTTGGACAGAGGGCACAGCAGGGGAGCAGGCAGCTCCTCTGCTTTATTCCTATCAGCACCACTCACTCACAAAAGCACAGGCTTTTTATAGGGTCTGTTCTGCTGTTCAGCCTGGGCACTTTGCAAACTCAGCAGATGCAGTTTGGGGCTCCATCACCACAACCCCACATCATGCTCAAGTCAAAGCCTTTCAGCCGGTTCACACAACTGAACCAGTACAAAAATGAACATAGTCCAAGCTAGTGACATTCCACTGTATCAACAGGTCTTGCAATACATTTACAAGTGTTTGTAAATAAACTAAGGGTAAAAAAAACACAACTTACCTTTCCTGTTGTGTTGACTTGACTGCCCTGGATTTCATGACTGCTTAAGTAAAGCTGTACAAAAGCCTGTGCATACAGACAAAGCTCTGTAGGCCTCTGTAACCTCTAGAGTTGTTTGGAGTTTTTTTCTCCAGAGAAATACAGAACAGGCAGGAGACCAGTAAGATCAGAGAACACGTCCAGGTCTTATTTTAACTGCTGCCCACATAAAATACTGTATCACCGAATAGCTAGTCCCACAGTAAATAACATACAGACAAACTTTACTGACAGAGGAGAACAGCAGGGAAAAAAAAAAAAGAAACAGCCATCAGAGAAGCTTGTGTTTATACATTTTAAAAGTTGGAGCCAAACTTGTATACACCAGTGTCATATTTACGTGAATGTTTTGCAGTGATTTATTTGTGAAAACACCAGTTCCTTGTTGACTTGGCAAGGTTGGCTGCCAGATAGGTCTGGGTGTCACCCCCAGGAAACTGAAGCCTGCATTGTGCTGATATTTTTGGTCAAAATTCTGTGCATAAATCAAGATGGGCAAGGGGGACAGAAGGGACCGCAGGTACACAGAAGCATCCCTCATTGTCAGAAACAGTTGTGCCCT